AGTTTCCTCTAGTGCCCTGACTACAGTGTGCAGGTAAATAGCTCTCTCTGGGATATCTATCTGCCTGTGGGAGGGCCGATGGGAAAGTAACGTGCATCTCTCGCTCACCAGGATTTGTAAATGCCTTGTGATGTTGGAGAAACATACCTTTCTGTGTGCACCTTGTGATTTTCTATTTGGCGAGCTTTGCTGTTGTCCTCCCGCCTTACTTTTCCTCTGCTGCACAATTGCAATGCTCAGTTGTCTATTAACAACGATGTCAGCCCGAATTTATTAGCTGAGCTCGCTGCTGGCTGCCTCCATAGCAACCAGCTGAAAATATAAAGACTTTCCCCATGAGCCCATACTGAACAAAAGCACATCACCATCTCTTTCTGTTTTAACATTTGTCTACCTCAAGATGAGCTGGACAGAATTCAGAAAATATTTTTCAGCTGGGAACAGAAATAATCAACCAGGTCAAATGCTAGGCCTGATTTATTTGGATGCCCTACCGATTGTCATCTCCCTCTAATGAATGGCTCGTGCCATCCACCTGAAATCTGTCACTTAGGTTATTTGAGTTTCTATTCTGCATGTGCTAAAATTGACATTGCTAATAGGAACAAATTCTTATAATGGATGGGGATTCAATGAGCCAGTTGATATATTTGGCTAACTATTTTCTTTTATGTTTTTTAAAAAAACCTTTAAAAATTTTAAAAGCCCCTTAGGATATTAACTAGCATTTTGAAGAAAGCCTAAGGAACTGATTTTCATTCTCTTCTAGGAGTCCTTCAGCTTTAAAATGCTGAATTTATGATTCTATTCTGCCATATTCCCAGTAGGAGATTCTAGATCATTATTTTTTTCCTGAAGATTAAAGAAATTCATTAGACACCAACTAGTCAATGCAAATCTATGCATAAAGTAAACAGGATAGCATGACTCTGCCATCACTGAATAATACCTCGCACACATTAGGTACTCCCAACCCTCTATTTTTGGCAGCTGGACATTTTCAATTACTAGTTTTGTAATTATACAAACTATATGCAACAGGATTTTCAAATTGATGGCTCACTATATTTTATAGCTTATGTAGCTGTAACATGTTTAGAAGGGAATTTATTACCTTCATGCTTGGATAGGATGAGAATTGTCATTCTCATCACCTTACACAGGGTCTCCTTGTTCAGTTATGTATGCGCATGGCTTTCTAGAGGATCACTGGATTGCCCTTTCCCCTTCTTTCTACAGAAGCAAATATTAGAGGAACGAATTAGAAGAACCATACAATTCCTCCGCAGATATATTCCAAACCAGACAGGCAAACAGAAAACCAAAGGAGTTTTGCCCTATTTGATCATAACCACGCTGTGTTCAGCATCTTCTCTGCTGAGGTCCAGGCCCTGTGTAGTTGGATGCAGACCAGGTGATGTCCTCTTTGTTTCACAGGAGACAAAGGGCGCCCTCACAACTCTTGGTTTTACAGGCACTGCCCTGTATTCTTTCTTTTTTATAAAAAAAATAATTCTTGATCTATTATCTCCCCCAGATCTTCCTCCCCTCCCCACTGTAATTTGACAGTTTGCCTGTTGCTTTACTGTCTATATTTGTCTCTTGGTTCATCAATTTATAATGTTCTTTATCATCCACAAATGAGTGAGGTCATGAATAATAGATCAACCGAAGGACTTGTGTACATGCATATAAGTACAACCAATGGACATAAAACTCTGGGGAGGGAGGGTATGTATGGGAGGGAGGGAGGGGGGCAAAAAAAATCAATAAAATATATTTTTTTAAAAATTCTTTATTGTTGAAAGTATTACATATGTCCCCCCTTTTTCCCCTTTTAGCCCTTTCCTCCCCTGTCCCTGCCTTCCCTCTGAGTTTCTGCTCTCTGTTCCATGTTTCTATGGATCTGGATCCATTCCATTCATCAGTTTATTTATTTATTTTTAAAATATATTTTATTGATTTTTTACAGAGAAGAAGGGCAAGGGATAGAGAGTTAGAAACATCAATGAGAGAGAAACATCGATGAGAAACATCAACCAGCTGCCTCCTGCACACCCCTTACTGGGGATGTGCCCACAACCTAGGTACATGCCCTTGACCGGAATCAAGCCTGGGACCTTTCAGTCTGCAAACTGATGCTCTAGCCACTGAGCCAAACCAGTTTCAGCTGTTCATCAGTTTATTTTGATGATTACTTAGATTCCACATTGTAACCCTTGCAAGCTTACCCAGTCAGTTCTCTATCTTCTGAGGCATGTTTGGTTCACACTCACTTCTGATTCCTGATTTTCAGTAACCTTCAAAGGCATTCTAGGTGCATTCAGCCTGGGATCTCCCTGGACACCCACCATCATCTCACATTCATTACTATGTGCCCTATAAGCAGTGTGGTCCACATGGAATATCTCATTTAAACTTCATAACAGCCATCTGAGTCAAGTACTGTTAATCAGTATTCAGGTTATTAAGAAGACACATAGAAAATAAGAGGTGAAGTCAGGATTTTAACCCAAGCCTTCTTTTAACTGCTATTCTCCACCTCCTCCCAACTCTTGCTCAAAAGTAGAATTGAATATGAGTCACTTGGGTAGGGGATGGGTTTCCTAACCACATCGAGTTGTTACCAGTCTGGGAGAGGGTATAGGTCTAGCTGCATAGAATGTTTCTGTCTTCCAATAGTCTTAATTCTCTTAGTGGTAAGAGGCTTCATTCATTTTCTTTTTATTCAAAATTGGCTTTTTGCCTTTTATCCACGCAGTAGGCCACGATAGCCCAGATTGTATTCCTGACGGGCTATCATGTCCCTTGTCACTTGTACAACAAAGGCTCTGGCTTGGCCTTGGCTTTTAGGTGAAGTCATCTTAGAAAAAATACAAGAGCCACAAAAATAGAGTTTAAAAAAAATGACAAACATTGCAAGCATTCATTTTATACTCCCACAATCTTAATTTTCCAATTGTTCTTAGTTGAAGACAAGAACTGTAAGAGATCTTAGAAAGTAGTGAACTTTTAGAAATATTCACAACTACCTATACACAAAACACTCACTGTTACATCCTTACTCCACACAAAGCAGATAATATTAAAGAGACTTGGAAAGAGCTTTATAAATGCAGGCTCACTACAAAACTCTAAGCACACACAAATAAACAAAAATAATGAATAACAAATACTTAGCATACTTTTTTTTTTTTAATCAGAAGGATAAAAGACTAAAGTAGGGATTCAGTTAAGAGCTTAGTGGCTTTTACTAGGTAACATTTTCTAGTAAGTTTCTCAATCAGTCTAAGCAGTGATATTACAAAGCAAAAGCAAGTTCCTGTGAGGAACTATCTTGCTTCCTGGAGAAAATTAAGGCAAGATGATTTCTACTCGGGGTTGCCAAGGTGCAAGGCAGAATATTGTTATGTAAGGGAAGAGCCTTCTCACTTGATGAGAATAACAAGAAATACAGTAAAAGTCTTAGCTTGGTAGGAGATGGAATATTCAGCTCCTGAAATATTGCTGTGAGTTCTGAGTGACAGAAACAGGAAGGAAGAGTGAGCAATACCCTAGTCTGTATTGCATTTGGCCTGTTAGAAAACCACGTGGTGGGTCATGGGGCAAACTCTGTCCCTGCTCTTGCCTTGACGTGCTTCTCATGAAATCTTAAACCACATTGAGTTTTTTGTCAAATGAGTCAGATGTTTGATCATGACAGAAGATTATGATGGCAGGGGTCTGGTCTATTTTGTACACAGCTATGTTGTGAGCATAGTAGGCATTCAGTGAATGAATGAATGAATTTGCACACCTCAAGGTCCCATCATCTAAGAGCAGACTAAGAAATATTTCGCTCTTCACATAGACAATGATGATGAAAAAAATGAAAGAAAAAGACATGCAGTAGAAAAGGTCATCTGTCATCTGCCATAGTAACTGAGTTACTTTGTTCAGATTCAATTTGTATTTGTGGCATCTTTGCAGAGAAGATGCCAGAATATAAAAGCTAAACAATCATGTTTTTGTGTAGCCACGTGTGCATGTGATTGTTCTTTAGATGTAGATATATAAGATTCTATAGACATTGCCATGGTTATGGCTGACTTTAGTCAACTTTTCATCAGTCCTCCTGAAATCCTAATTCTACTGATTTAGCAGTAATTATTTAGAATTATAGGAAGCAAGTTTGACTCATAAACAAAATAGCCCAGCCCCACTAATAATGTAGCTCAGTGATAATAAGAGGAAAGTAATCTGGGAAGTTCACTCCTCCACTCCAGAAATCTCATGACATCTAAATTGGGAGTTGGTGGCCATGTAAACAAATTCAAATTACCTTCCAGCAAAAACCTCAAACTACTTGCTTGAGATGGTTTTGGGTAGATGACCTGAATCCAGATCAAAATCAAAAGCCACAAAAATACTGAAATAGCTGAAACAGAGACATAGTCATTACAGGAAGCTTAGGAAGTTTCAAAGAAAGCTTAAAAAAGAAGAAGAAAATCTATACAGCCAGAGAAGCTGGTGGTATTGCTCATCCCTCCTGGAAATGTTGATGACATCCACTGAAGAGGAAGGGGAAGGAGGTAGAGGGCAAAACAAGCAGCCTAGACAGGGACAAAACAGGAAACAGGAGTGCTGATGAAACTGAACTGCAAATCGGGAAGAGAGCAAAGACTCAAGCCACAGAGCTGGTAAAGACACTGGAAGAGGACAAAATGAAAGTAGTGAGGGACTCAGAGAGAACTATGGACTAAATAACGCATTTACAAATAGATAACGAAGTCTCAAGTTTTCCTACTGAAATGACCTGGAAAGAGGCTTAGAACTATTACAGTTATTCCAGGGATGTTCTATTGTACTAGGTTTGCATCAAATATTGCTTGAAATAAATGGACCTTCCAATGTAGGGAATTCTGTTTTGCTGTTATATAGAGAAGTCTGTATCTCTATAGTAATAGGTGAATAGATTGCCAACACTATGAGTAATATTATCTCATTCTCACAAGTCTTAGGAAGTATGTAGTTTACCATCCTTAGTTCCTAGATGCATTCTCTGAGGTTGTATCATTTGTTAGGGGTCAAGTGGCCAGTGCAGGATAGACTCAGGACATAAATTTCTTACTCTCAACTTCACAATCTATATTCTAGCTGCCATTTCATCTTGCATCCCAAGTATAGAGCCATTTGGTCGATACTTGACATTCTACTGAACATAATGATTCACCTCTGGTTCATTTCCCTTTATATTTGATCTATTTTCCAGAATTGCTGTTGTTTTCCTTTACCGACCTTTACAGGGAGACACAATAAAATGTTCAGAATTAAGGAGCAGCCCAAAGAAGAAAATAATAGTCTAGAAATAATAAAGTCTAGAATGGCAGAGTGCTAGGATAGTATAGATTGTTGATTTCAGTTCTCTCATTAGAGCGAGTAACCTACTGACCCCCAATTAACCATCTTACTAAAAGTAACAAAATCTTTTGACTGAATGGAGAATGATCAGTAGCTATGTTTCATATATTTATTTGCAATACTTTGGGGGAATTATTGTATTAATAATCTAACATAGCTATTATTATTATTTATAAAATAACAACAATTTGGTATGGGTAAATGATTTGCCCAAGGTTACATAACATAGTAGATTTTTTTCAAATTTCTCCAAACCTTATTTCATCCAGGAATTATACTATTGCCAGCAAGGCCCAAATTCAATTGACTTTAAGCTTATGTCACATAGCAATGGTTATTGTTTTATTGTTAATCCTCACCTGAGGATATTTTTTTTTATTGATTTTTGGAGAGAGTGGAAGGGAGGAGGAGAGACAGAGAAAGATAATAACATCAATGTGAGAGAGACACATCAATTGATTGCCTCCTGCATGTGCCCCACAACCAGGCCCAGGGATTGAGCCTGCAACTGAGGTATGTGCCCTTGACTGGAGTTGAACCCAAGACTCTGCAGTCCATGGGCCGATGCTCTATCCATTGAGCCAAACTGGCTAGGGCAGCAATGGTTGTTTTTAAATAAATAAAAGTTTTGCTTCAGAACCCAGAGTTGATGTTCATTGGTTGCCATCCTGGTATGCAGCAGGCAGAGGATACTTCCTCTAACCACCAGGACAGTTTTGGATGCTCCACTGCTCTTTCATAATCCAGTTGGTTTGCCATGCTCCTTGGGTTAGGAAATAAGCCCCTTAGGCACTATTGCACAACGTTATTTAAGGTCTTAAGAAGGCAACTTCTAAATGAACAAGGAAGTCCACAAATATTCATACAAGTAAGGTCAACACTTAATACCAAAGGGATTCCATTGAGAGAACAATTGTGTTGTTGGGAATTTGAGGACAGATGTAGAAAGTTGCTGTGGCCACAATGTGAGGACATTGTGAATGTTGAATGTTTGTTTTGGGTTAATGGGGCTTAAAGATATTTATGTGATGAAACACCTGAAAACCTTGTTGTGTTTTATGGAATAAAATGAAATATAAACACTTAAATAATAATAATAGTAATTATTATTATTATTATTATTATTATTATTATTATTATTATTGTTGTTGTTGTTAATCCTCACCAGAGGATATTTTTCCATAGACTATTTTTAGGGAGAGTGGAAGAGAGAGGAAAAGACAGAGAGAAACATCAATGTGAGAGAAACACATTGATTGGTTGTCAGATGCCCTGACCAGGGCCCGGGCCAGGTAAGGAGCCTGCAACCAAGGTACATGCTCTTGATTGGAATTGAACCCAGGACCCTTCCTTTAGTCACAGGCCGATGCTTTCTCCACTGAGCCAAACTGGCTAGAGTTAAAAAATTTTTAAAGACCCATAGCTGTATCATTTTGTATTGAATCAGATACTATCTTAAGAGGATGGTAATGTTATTAAAACCAAAGGATTAGGAAACATTATGGAGAAAAACTTAAAATTCAGGTATTTTGTCTATTGACTTATTTTTAAAAAATATTTTGCATGGAAAAGACTGTAAGTTGCCTATCCATTCTCCCCTCTCTCTTTGAAGGAACCTCAATTTTCAGCTAGGTGCAGAGTCTCTCAAGGCAAAAAGTACATTTCCCAGCCTCCTTTCTAAGTATGGCCATGTGATATTTTCTGTCAAAGATATTGAAGCCTACTTCGTAACTGGAAAGCCCAGAGAGGCTGTTTAAGGGGATTCAGCTCAGCTGGGGGGAGTCCTGTCTGCTGTTCCTTCCTTTTTTTGGCCTGCAGTGCAGATGTGACAACTGGAGCATGACCAGCCTTGAGATGGCCTTGATAATAAAAGCCACATGTTAGGATGTGACATCCTGCAATGGCCATAGCTAGATTGCCTCCCTCCAGATTTATTTTATTTGAAAAAATATTGAGAGAAAATATTGAGAGAGAGAAAAAAAAAAAAACTCCCCCAAATTGTGGCTTGCTTTAGACCTAACAGTATACATTTTTCTTTTATGTGCTGAAACACCTAATCCTAACAGATACATTACAATAAAAAAAAAAAAATTTCACCCCCAGTCCTAATATTGAATTTTAGAGCTTGAACATCTAAAACTACTCATATGATACAAGAGTAGAGTTTGAGCCATAGGTTTTGTTATTATCTATGTATTTTCTTTCAAAATCCATAGAAACAATTATTTAAACTAGTTTCTATTTTTAGTTTGGAAAATGGCACAAGATATTAGCTTCCCCAGCTCTGTTTCTCTCTCATTCTCATTAATATCCAGGAATAGTATAAGTTTCATCTAGTCAAAGTATATATTTTTCTATGTTTTTATACAATACTCTAAGTTATAAAATATACACACATACTTATCTGATATGATTCTCATAATAGGGCCATGAGGTAAGACAAACATAACTATTTCCATTTTTACTAATGTGGTAACTGGGTTCTCCTGTTCATTACATCACTTTGAGGTAGATGAGGCTGTTATTATCCTTAATACTCACAAGGCAGAATCATGAAATGCTCACATCATCCAACCCAAAGCCTTGAAAATAAGTTGCTATTTAATAAATACTTGATGAATGCCTGGATGGGTGACTGGTGAGTGAGTGAATATGGAAAAAGAGGCTCAGGAGAGGAAAAGGAGGTATCGGTGTCACAATACTGGAATTAAAATTAGGGTTTCCTCATCCAATTCTAATTTTTTCCTATTACACTGCATTGCCTCTCCCTAGAAATTAATTCTCCAATTTGCTGAGTTGTCCATTTGGGTGTGCTGTCAGTGAAAGGCAGTACTAGTATTCAGATGGACATCAATGGTGAACTTCAACTGATGGCTCAGCACAAACCTGCACACACCACAAAAGAGTTTGCTTTCACTGGCAGCTCTCCCAGTCTTCACATATTAATGCTGTGCCAACAGCTATTGTCCTTGACAAGTGACTGTGCTGGCAACATAGGATTCCCTTAAACAAAATCCTTCATATGAATAATCGGCAAAGAGTCTCATTTCTGACCCCTCCCAGAGCTAGGGTTTTTGTTTTACTTGGGAAAAAGTTCCAGGAGGCTTTGTGTTGTGGTGGTTTAACTTGAGGATTTCTTTAATATTTAAACTGGGAAACACAAGAGCCACAGTAAAGCCTACCATTTAGAGCATTGTCTTTCTTCTGAGAGAGCTGAGAAATGAACAAAGCCAACAAACCCTGAAATCATCACCCTGATTTTCTCTAAGGTTTAAGTCCATAGATTGTGCAGATGATTGAGACAGAAATATTAAATGATTTCTCCCAAGTTATCTAATTCATCAAGATCAGATCAATTAGATTTGAGCCCTATATTAGTCAGAGAGCTAATAAGAAGAACATCTAAGCCTGCCACTTACTACTTGTGTGACTACATCTACATTATTTTCTCTGAACATCAATATTAATATATTTGTGTTTGGGATAATACTGTTGGACTCTCAGAGTTGTCAAAGGTTGACGGTAAATGCGATACTGTAAGTTGCCTTAGGAGCAATTTAGAAGTCACTCAATTCGATGTTAGTTTCATTCCTTCTCTCTTTAATATTGGCTCTATTTTCAGAAACCCTTGCCAAATTCGGTGACCAAGTAGAAAATATGAGAAACCCAATATAATCTTTACAAAAACCTTCAATTTGTTTTTGTGTACAGAAGTTTAAAAATTCCCATAATAAGTAAAATTTACAAAAATACCTAAGAAAATCTACAAGACACATGACCTGGTTCGCTTGGCCTACAATTATTCTTGTTCTTTCATGTCCTTTAGGCCCAGATTCTATAATAGAAACCAGAATATTGAGTAGAGACATTTTGGTGCCTATCACTTTCTCATGATCTTGACCTAGAAATCCTTGTCCTTGTCCACACTTTTTTTTTTTTAATTATTGTTATTATTATTATTTAATTTATTTATTTTTATAGTTTGCCTTTACTTTATTCAGCAAGTATTTTTGAAGCACCAGCTATGTGCCAGGCACTACTTGAGGTGCTGAGCATATATTAAGGAACAAAACAGAAAGTAATCCTCTCTTAGTAGACAACAAACCAAATATGGTAAATATGGTCTACTGGTGAGTGATATGCATAATGGAGAAAGAAAGGGAGATATGGAGTGTTGGGGAAAAAGTTTGCAATTAAAATTTAATGGTCAGAAGACATTACATGTGAAGATGAACAAGTAAAGACCTGAAGAGTTGGTGCATGAGTCATGCAGAAATCTGGGAGGATGGTAGAAGGCATGGAATATACACAAATCCTCAGGCAGGAAAAGTGTGCACAGAATAGCAAGAAGGCCAGTGTGGCTACAGCAGAGACAATAAAGGAGAAAACAGACATAAAGTAAAATGGTAAGGAGGCAGGGAGGTGGCAGGCTGTGTATGGCCACCATGAAGACTTTGTCTTTTTTTTTTTTTATATACTTATTTATTTATTTATTTTTATTTTTTTGTGGTTTCAGAGTTTTTGTTTTTTTATTTTTATTTTTTTAATATATTTTATTGATTTTTTTTGCCCCCCTCCCTCCCTCCCATACATACCCTCCTTCCCCAAAG